CAGGGTGGAGGAGGGAAGCTGACTTCATGAAAAATGACATTCTGGTTTGCACGCACTCTCATCGAGTTGCATCAATCATTAGCAGTTTTAATAGCCTTTTAGAGAGAGGCCGTTTCACTCATTTTTCTGAACACAAAAGGAATTAACAGCAGTTGATTAGAAAGAACTGTGCCCTGCAAACTTTTGCTCGTTCTTGCCAAAAACGCACACTAGCTGCTGTGTGGTGGCAGAGAGGAACGATGACTCATTTTACTGCAGCAGCACCATGTGAGTGTCAAAAAAACACCACCGTCTTCACTCTCCTCCTCGATCACACTACAGGAACAGGAGACGGAAGGCAAAAGGAACTGCATCTTTTACATCCCTAACTATACATATTTCTGTTGATTTTTTTTATTTCAAGATTAGTGCAAAGGCACCCTGCGCGACGCGGCTCACATCTCCTTCACGGCAGGTTCGGCATTCACGGACGCTCATCCTGGCCCACTAACGCTACCAAATCTACTCTCAACACCTTTGTGCAGAAATGAGGAAATATGAACCTCATTCAAAAAAAGAGGAACAGGGTAGAAAAATATTAAAGCTCTATTTCCTAAAATATTCAGGAAATATTTTCATATTATTTTAAATATAAAGGCATAAAATGCTCATAGAATTTCCTGCTGTAGGAAATTACATTGGTTACTGGCAGGACTTACTGCTACGTTCTCCTTTGCATGCTTAGTCTGAAATAATGTTTTTTTCCAGTTTAGCACGAGCTGCTTCCAAAACCGTATGACCTCCTGTCGGTTTGGAGGCACTAAATGCTAAATCAGAAAAAGACATGTTATTACGCAATAGGTACCCACACGAGGAATTACGCTGGTGTACGTGGACGGACAAGCCAGGCCGTTCCACAAGCTCCAGGATAAAATACTGCAGAAGTCTGGACAGCGTGTGGAACCCAACACCACCAACTCCAGCCCTGTGCACAGCACCTCTTGCTTCTCTGCCTATTAATGGCATTAGAGAGCATTTAAATTGAGTGGAGACTTTCTACAACAACAAACGTT